CCCCCCACCCCCATCCAATACATAGACATGACTTGCACCCCGATTTGCACATCACCCTATACTGCATCCAAATAATTCATTCTAGGTGTAATCATGAGATGTAAGCTGCTTATGACTTGTCCCTGAGCTTATAAATCATCCCTGGCATTGCACTGTGATGCCAGTCGTGGCACTGGGGTAGCTGTGCCCCGGTCAGTCACACAGTGTCTGACAAGGATGCACCGAGATGCGTGCTTTATAATGCCATGTACAGGTATCAGTCCCTCTTCAACACTGGGCAATACAACATCGGGTTGTTGGTCTTTGACTGCCCTCTACTGGAACAACCCTTCTCCAATTTCTAAGGTACAGATCGATAGAATTGGGGGCTTAGTGGAACTGGAAACATATCTATAGCCATCTACAGGAATCCCTGGCACTTGAGCTGCTGGTCCTATACCCATGGCATGGTAGTGTCATAGCCCAACATTTGGTACTCTATAACTAATACATGTTTTATACATTTATTAAATTGGACTGGTGCCATATGTAAAGGCAATGTACACAATGCAGTAACCTACAGCAACCACAGCTCGGTTAATGTCGTAAAATGAGCCATGCCGATTGCCTGCCAAGGGTTACTGCACTTTGCACACAGTCAATACGTTTTACATTGCCTTATTGAATAAAGCTGCTTCATTGCTGTTGGATTTCAAATGCTTCCTGCCAAAAAAAGAAAACAATCCCAGATTCTGAATTATAAATTAGAAAGGACTCAATCTGGGTGTTTTACTGAACAGCTAGTCGTGACCATCCAGGGACGGAAATTTGCAGGGACAAGTTCTCATTGCCTGGCGCCATTCCTGCAAAACAGGTTACAGACATACTGGATTAGGGCAGTGTTACTGTTCACAATGGTATGTATAGTCATGTTACTCCTATAGGTAAATATATGTGGGAGAGATGGAGAAAGGTGCTGTGCAGGGTAGGAGCTGCATATGGGACTATAGGGAAGGCATCCCCTGTGCACACAGGACCGACCCTAGACAGACGCCAAAATGCCAACAGAGGAAGATGCAGCAGCTGTGTGGACAAGATTCCATCTTACCCAGAGCACTACTCTTCCCTGTCCTTCTCTGCATAGCTCCTCTCTCCTCCTTTTCCCCCCCAAAGACCACCATGCAAGAGATAGGACCAAAAATTGGTTTTGTGGATTTGAAGACCACTTTGGAAGAGATAGGACTGCTAATTGTTTTTTGTGGACTGAAAGACCACTTTGCGAGAGATAGGACCAAGAATTGGTTTTGTTGACATAAAGACCACCTTTGAAGAGATAGGGTCAAAAACTGGTTTTGTGGATTTGAAGACCACTTTGGAAGAGATAGGACCAAGAATTGGTTTTGTGGATTTAAAGACCATCTTGGAAGAAATAGGACTAAGAATTGGTTTTGTGGACATGAAGACCACTTTGCATGAGATAGGACCAAGAATTGGTTTTGTGGACTTGAAGACCACCTTGGAAGAGATAGGACCAATAATTGGTTTTGTGGACTTGAAGACCACCTTGCCACCTTGCAAGAGATAGGACCAATAATTGGTTTTGTGGATTTGAAGACCACCTTGGAAGAGATAGGACCAAGAATTGGTTTTGTGGACTTGAAGACCACCTTGCAAGAGATAGGACCAAAAGTTGGTTTTGTGGTCTTGAAGACCACTTTGGAAGAGATAGGACCAATAATTGGTTTTGTGGACTTAGGTCATATTGAATATCAATAGGCCAGGCATGGTGGTAGGTTGGGTTGACCCTTTCATTAATTTTTGTAATTGACAGCTGGTTGAAATTGATACAAAAAGTTCCCTGTGTATGACCATGATGAGGCTGATCCAGTTTTCCCAAATGTCAGCGACTGAATTGTTTGACAGATCTCTGATCCAGAATTGATATAATATTTGCTCAAAGTGGTACCAGCGATCAGAAAACGATATTCTGGGTGTTCTTATAAAGGATCCACATATTAAATCCCCAAATAGGACTTGTCATGCACAGAACCGATTACTTGCCATGTATTCTGTGTCCTATGCGTTGATGGGGCACAGCCCATTTATGCAGATTTCTTCAGTCTGCTGAGAATCATACGATTCATCAGATCTGATTCGCCCCGGGCAGATCTGTGTGTAAAGGTTCAGGTGAATCCAAAAATCTGCAGCTCACCGATTGTCCTGTTCAACCGCCACTCTTTGCAAACGATCTTCGCATTCTGAGTACATGATGGAGGTTCATTCTGAATTATCGAGGAATGTATTGAATGTGAGTATTTTTCAGCCTGTGGGAAAATGTCTGTGACTGAGCTCCAGAGAAAAGGGAATGGAATGTGCTTTGTACATAGTAACGTTGTGTTCAGCAGCTGCATGCAGTTCAAGTAAGGACTGGCAAGATTCTTAGCACCAGTCAATCGGAGGCAGATACCTGTCTGTGTATGGAAGCCCCAACTAGGGTTGCCAACTTTTCTTCAAGCGAACCCAAACACTCTAGCGATGCGCAGACATTTGTTCTTGAGAGAATGAGTCGCGGATTATTCATATGTAAATATCACAGTTGAGACTATTTTCAGTGGGGGGGCCAGTAGCCCCTATCTTAATTTTGGTTGCCCCTGACTGCCTGACATCTTGTGTCTGGGTTTCTGCTGCCATGAAACCCGGACACAGCATTCAAAACCCGAACTGTTTGGGTGAATCCTGGACAGGTGGCAAACCTAGCCCCAACACCGAGAGATTATGGCAAATTAAAATCCTGGTACTTAAGGCTCACTATAGATATTACAGTCTGACCGTACAATCTCTGTGCAATCAGCTTTAAGATGACCACTGTGCAATCTGATTGTACAATCTCCTTTAGATCTACTATCAACTATGAAGTACAAGGGACCGTTGAATTGTTTGGGTTTGCCCTCATATCACATAGGGTTGGTAGGTCTAAAGCTCACCGCACGCGTTACATTCTGCTTATACAATTCTCTTTAGCTCTACCAACAACTATATAGTGCAAGAGCCCACCTGATTGGATACAGATTGATTGGATAGATTAGTTAGGTCCTCATTTAGGACCTGATAATTGGCATGTGTATCTGGAGCATCAATGAGAGATAGCCTAATGTGACTGAACTCCAAAGGTCAGTGGCTTAATGGGTGCAGTCATAATTCCGCTACCCCATTCCCACTCTGTGTATGTATCATACAGTATATGGGTACATCTGTTCATTATATTAAAGTGAGTCTGTCATGATAGGCACGTGGGAGCTGCCATTGCTGACCGTGGCGGTCATATTTATCCCTTCTTTCCTACACAGTAAGTCCCCGACCTAGAAAAAGCTTGCGGTGATTCATTAGGTAGTAATGCAAGGCTCAGGATGACAGCCCAAGCCTGCACCTTCAAAGCCACTGAGCAGTGGCAGCTCCCATACATCTGTCATGACAGGTTCCCTTTAAACAAGTTACCCAAACTGTGTACTATGAGCACCTACCTACCTAATCTATCCATTTATTTTGTATCCAATCAGGCAATAGTTGTTGGTATATCTAGAGGACATCGTACGATCAGATTGCAACGTGTGCGGTGAGCCTATGGAGTGAGCACCTTATGGTGACATCAGATTTTGTACCCCGGGTTTTTGGTGGGGAATGGGGATCAGATAGCATAAAAGGTCATTTTTTTCACAATTCTGTAATCAGTTTGAGATTAAAACTAATTCTAAAAATTCTGTGTCAACATTAATGGCAATTTAAATGTAATCGTTGGTATAGTACCAATATATCCTCCCATAGAGAGGACCGTCACTGAGCTATTCTCATCAGCTGCAAAGGAGCTGACAGTCTAATGTCCCAGGTGACACTCTATAGCAGCCTTTCTCAAACAAGGTTCCACGGCACCCTAGGGTGCCTTCTACCTTCCTCTGGGGTGCCTTGAAATGTTCACACAGAGTAATTCCTGTGAAGAGGGCTCCTGGTGTGAAAGGAGTTCTCTTGATATGAAGGGGGCTCCTGGTGTGAAGGGGCTCCAAATGTGAAGAGGGGGTTCTGATGTGAAGGGGCTCCTAATGTGAAAGGGGTGGGGGGATTCTGGGGGGCTCTAAATGTGAAGAGGGGGTTCTGATGTGAAGGAGCTCCTAATGTGAATGGGTGACTCTGATGTGAAGGAGCTCCCAATGTGAAGGGGGAGCTCTAAAGTGAAGGGGCTCCTAATGTGAAGGGGGGATCTGATGTGAAAGGGCCCCTAATGTGAAGGGGGGCTCCAATGTGAAGGGGCTCCTAATGTGAAGGGGAGCTATGATGTGAAGGGGCTCCTAATGTGAAGGGGAGATCTGATGTGAAGGGGCTCCTAATGTGAAGGGTAGCTATGATGTGAAGGGGCTCCTAATGTGAAGGGGAGCTATGATGTGAAGGGGCTCCTAATGTGAAGGGGAGATCTGATGTGAAGGGGCTCCTAATGTGAAGGGGAGCTATGATGTGAAGGGGCTCCTAATGTGAAGGGGAGCTATGATGTGAAGGGGCTCCTAATGTGAAGGGGAGATCTGATGTGAAGGGGAGATCTGATGTGAAGGGGAGATCTGTTGTGAAGGGGGGATCTGATGTGAAGAGGCTCATAATGTGAAGGGAGGACTCTGATGTTAAGGGGAAACCCCACATTTTTGGTGTTTTTGCATGGGGTCCTCGCTTAAACCCCATACCAGACCCCTATATGTGGTAAGGGTCTGGTATGGATTTTGGAGGGATCACACATAATTGTTTACATTTTAGACTGGTGTACCTCAAGATTTTGCATCCTTTAAAGGGTGCCATGACTGAAAAAGGGTTGAGAAATGCTACTCTATAGAGTCAGATAAAGCAAAGTCTAATGACCCTGCTGGAAATTTGAATTAATTATGGTAGGAAACACATAGA